ATTGGCCACAGTATCTGAAAGTGAGAGAAAGACAAGTCAGATTCTGGTCTGCCCACCACAGAAAAAATTTCACCCTGCCACTCCTTTCAGCTCCCTCTTGATGTCACAAATGGCAGTACTTCCTTTTCCTTATGATGAATAATATACCATTGTATATGTGTATCACAATTCTTTATTCATTCATTCATCAATGTACACTTAGACTGTTTCTATATCTTGGGTGTTGTGAATAATGCTGTAATACACATAGATGTGAGTATATCTCTTAAAGACACTGATTTCATGTCCTCTGGATATACACACAGAAATGGGATTTCACTTCTATTGTAAGGAAGTTCTATTTTTAATTTTTTGAGGAACCTCTATACTACTTTCCATAATGGTTGTACCAATTTGCATTCCCACCAACAATCTACAAAAATTCCATTATCTCCACATCCTCACCAGTACTTATCTCTTGTTTTAATAATTTCCATGCTAACAGGTATGAGGTGATATCTCACTGTGATTTTTGATTTGCAATTCTCTGTCATTTACTGATGTTGAGCATCTTTTCACACACCATTTAGCCAACTGAATGTCTTCCTTGGAAAAATATCTGTTCAATTCCTTCACCCAGTTTTTAATTGGGTCACTTGATCTTTTGCTACTGAGTTGCGTGAGTTCCTTATACATTTTTTATGTTAATCTCTTCTCAGATAGGTGGTTTGCAAACATTATTATTCACTGTGTATTTTGCCTTTTCACTTTGTTGATTGTTTACTTTGCTATGCAGAAGTCTTTTGGTTTGACGTAGCCATGCTTGTTTATTTTTTGGTATTTTGTCTTTGCTTTTGGTATCATATTCAAAAAGTCACTGCCAAGACTAAAATGTCAAGGAGGTTTTTTTCCTGATTTCTTTTAGAAGCTTTACAATTTCAGTCCTTACATTTAAGTTTTTAATTTTATTTTTCACTGTAGCCAAGATATGAAAACAACCTAAGTATCCATCAATGGATGAATAAAGAAATTACGATACACATGTACAACAAAGTATTTTTCAGCCATGAAAAAAAAGAAAGAAAATTCGGTCATTTGCAACAGCATGGATGAATCTGGAGAACATTATACTAAGTGAAATAAGCCAGAGACAGAAAGTCAGATACTGCATGGTCTCACTTACATGTGAAATTTACAAAAGTTGAGCTCATAGAAGCAGACAGTATAACAGTGGTTCTTAGAGCCTGAGAGTGGGGAAAATCGAGAACTGATGGTCAAGGGTACAAAACTTTAGCTATTAGATGAATAAGTTCTGGGGATCCAGTCTACAGTATGTGTGGTGATGGATGTACTCATTAAAATAGCTGTGGTAATCATAATACTATGCCCGTATATATGTCCACTTCGAATATATTTCATCTTTATTTGACAACTCAATATTTTACAATTAAATAAATAAATAAAATTTTAAATCTATGTATTGGATTAGATTGACAAGAATCTCCAAGGTCAAGCCATTGTTTTTCCTTCTCTTTCCTACTGGAACATTGCAAAGCTTCCCTTCCAAAGCCTCCCAAGGCATATGCCTCAAGGGAATCTATTTCCTAAGCATAAAGCACAGGTAATTGTTAGCATACTAGAAACACAAATATGCTAAAAAATATGGTGAGATGAGCACACACTAGAATAGTATATTCTCACTGCCTGAATGGCAGGGCATTATTTTTACATCGTCAACATTTCCCCATAAGAATTTTGGGAGGAAGACATTAACATTGAGTTACAGATCAGTCTTGAAACCATATTTTCTAAGAACCCATTGACAATAAAATGAGAGCGTCTTATAGATATCACTGGCCAGTGGGAGAACTGTCACAAACAGAAATGTACTTTTCTTTCCTTGGTAGTTCATCTACCACTATCTCTGAATGGTGCAACCAGAAACAAAATACTTAGTGATTCTTGCCACTGTGTCTGGTGAGATTTCTCCCATAGCTGAATGACCAGCAGGAGTGAAGGACCATAATTCATAGGTGCAGGTTTGGAAACAGCAACATTATCATAACACCGCTCACCCTTTGTTTGCCCATCATCCCAGAAAAGTTCTCCTTTTGCTTCTTTGTTCTCATCTAGGGCAATGATAAGACCAAGAGGCTTCTTTCGACTGTAGGAAACAACATTTATGAGACAAAGACAGGAGTCAGGATTTTGCCAACTAAGCTGAGGATGTTTCCATCAAATTTCAAATTGGAAAAGTTACTAGCAGCAGATGGTTCTGTTTTCTTCGGGTATAAACACAAAATTGACAGGTGCATCTATCTTTAATATCAATGATGTCACAGGGGATAGAAATATCCCAAACAGTAGCAATAACATCTATGTTGGAGGCAAGAATTCAAGCACCAGAGTCACTGCAATAGCTCAAATGAAAGATGTTTCTGCCACTACTATTTAGAACACAGAGTATGAGAAGAGAAAGAAATCTTAGGCAATTGGTTCAGTCAGATCACTTTAGCAATGATGCCCTCAGGAGAAGTGTCCAGTGCTGTGAGGAAGATACATTTTCCCCTGCCTAAGGACCATTCATACTCAGAAAACAACAACATACAATAAGGTCCATCTATTTAATGGTAACTTATCTGATTATGGGTTATTAGTTTGTTTTGAAAGAAAAAAATCATTCTAATTATCTACTTTATAATTTAGAATAGGAAACACAAAACTTTACTCAAAGACATGGTAAAGTAGATGGACAGAGAGGAAGTCAGGGAGAGAGAGAGAGCGAGCAATTTCATTTGGAATCTCTCCTCACACTGTCACTCCTCTAGGCAACCTCCTAGAGTCCTGCTCTTCCTGTTCCTCCTCTGTCTGTCAGTGGCCTCACATTCTCCATTGTATTCTCCACAGTTCAGCCTCTCACTATGCAAGAAAGTTAGTTTCCATTATCAACAAAATCATGTTCTTTCATTAACTACTCATGTATTGAGTAGCAGTCATTTCTAGGAAGTCAATGAGATACAAATATTAATAAATCCCAACTCCTGACCTGAATACCTTAAATTTTATAGGAAAAATTAGGTGGAAAGTGAAAACAACACTAAAGTTAAGATATTCTAGGAGTCCAGAATGACAGTTCCAGAAATATGACGGACTGGATATTCTTCTGGAGACTTACACAGTAAAATATTACCTGAACCTACATAAATTACAACATGCATCCTTATTAAAATATTGTTGGATTTGCAAGAAAGTAAGAAATATAATCCAAGAGACCAAAACAATAACAGGAAAACAAAACACTGAGTTGAAACCAAAAGGGTTCTTAGTAAGCAAAACCTAGAATCTCTGCAGGGCCAATTCCCAAAGCAAGACTAAAATTGGGCTACTAAGCCCAGTAATCCAAGGTAGAGAAGATGAACCTCTGATTTCCCACATGAGGCCAGAATCCTTGAAGGAAGCTAACATGATGCCAGTCGGAAGCAATTCCTGGCTTGCAAACAGAGGAGAAGGTCAATCACCTCTGGAGGAATGAGACCCACATTTAGATGCTTAAGATGATCACAGTTTAAAAACAAAAAATCACAAAGCACACAAGGTAATAAGTCAAACATAAAAGAAAGTCTGCAAAGAAATAATTAACAATAGATTTAGACTCCCATAAGCAGTTTAGAAAATACAATTTTCAGGCACAGAGTATACCACTACTATTGAAATGCTAACACTCTTAAAGAGGAAGGACAAAATCATCTAAGGAGCAAAGATGTATAGATATATACCAGAAACTTGGAAGTGGCAGTGCTACCTTTGCTGGAAGATTCAGGGAAAGGTTTCCTGCTGATAAAATGTAACTTTAATTTGGATCATTAAGAATACACCAGGCAAAGATGTTGGAAACGATAAATCCCAAAGCCCAAAGGCAGAAAAATACATGGGTACGTTTGGGAAATAGCAAGTTTTTTGGTATAGCTAGTCTGTACATACATGAAGGTGTGGCAGGAGATAGATTTGTTAAGGTAACGTGGAACCAGGTTGTGACTGGTTTGCACATCACATTAATGAAAGAGTTTGGATTTCAAGTCTGGGAGCAACCAGTTGAGATTTTCATTTTGGAAAAATAAATTTGGTATCAGTGTGCAGAACTGCTTGAAGGTGGACAATTAGAAAAAAAGAAGCCAATTGGTATTGGATTTGGGAGTATTTTCCATTAGTATCATAAGAAGTCTGCAATTTCAAAAATTAAAGCAGTAAGAGAGGTTCAAAAGAAAAGAAAGTTGTCTGGCTTTCGAAGAACTTCTAGTCTGTTAAGGACAAATAAGCTAATACTTTCAAAGCCATGCACACATAAATGTGCGCCTGTTTAGTACAGATGAAATCTAGAATTTTGGAATCAATTAAGCGTAAAGGAAAATTCAGTGAATTTTGAGGTTCACAGGAGGTAATTTTTCAATCAAATTTTGAATCACAAGAAAAAAGTCTGGCTGGGCGTGGTGGCTAACAGCTATAATATCAAAACCTTGGGAGGCCGAGGTGGGTGGATCACGAAGTCAGGAGTTCGAGGCCAGCCTGGCCGAGATGATGAAGCCAAATCTCTACTAAAAATAGAAAAAATGACTCAGGAGGCAGTGAGCCAATATTGTGTCACTGTACTGAAGCCTGGGCAATAGAGCAAGACTCCATCTCAAAAAAAGAAAGAAAAGAAAAAGAATAGAAAAGAAAAAGAAAAAAAAATCTTTTAGCAGGAGAAAAGAAATAGGAAGTTGAGATCCTAGGAGGGTGGAAAGTGGATCCTGACTCTTTAGAAATGAGAATGAATGAGTTAAGAGCAGAGAAACACGAATGGACAGAGTGACCATGGCAGACAGAGGGATCTACTGACCTGGTTTGCCCAGAATTAAGAAGCATCCCAAGAAGGGAGACATTTGGTGCTAAAACTGCAACACTCCTGGGCAAACCAGGAAGTCTGACCACCGGACATGTTAGCATGTTTTTAAAAGAAATTCAAAGGGTTTAAGGAAGCAAATGAATGGTGGTCTTTCAAAATTCATCTGGATATAGTTCTATAACAGCAGCTTCTAAAAGTTGTTGTTGTGCCTATGGTTGCTCCTATTTTGACTTCCATCTCAGATGTGAGATTAAAAAGTGAAATTCTTAGATGTATCATCTCACTCCCTTAGAGTTAAAAGAGTTGTTAATTATTCTTCAGTAAGTATAGAGTTTGAAAAAGGTTAAAATACAAACAAGCAAACAAAGAAAACACAAGTGTTTAGTAAAATTAGGGGTTAGTGGTTACAGTTAAGGGTTAAGGGTTAGGGGTTAGGGTTAGGGTTAAGACTAGGGAAGATTTATTAAGGTGACACTTCTTCATTAATGCTAACTATAAAATTCATCTTTACTTTAATTAAATATCAAAATGTCACTTGAGAATGATGCTTACATTTTGGTGGACTTCACTACAAATTAGTGAGATAACTGGCATGTAAAGGAAAACCTGAGTTCCATCATTTACCTTAAGTGGGTGTTCAGTGCAGGCTCTTGCCAGGGCAGGATGTAGCCCCCACGGACATGAAGATTAATGTGGTCAAGAGGGGCAGGCAAGGTCTTCCACTCACCTCTTGCATTAATATCCACACCCTGTGGGCCAGAAGAAAAGATGATAAAGTAGAAGACATGTCACTCCCTGAACAACGCATTCTGCCAGACATCTCATCCTACCCTCTGAAATGATGCCTGTTCATTACCCTCGCCGCATACCTGCTATTACACATCCTGCATTCACACAGTGCTACATAAAACCTCACAAGGCTGCTATAATATCTTGTTAGGGTCTTTTGCCTTTGTTTTTACAAACTACATTTGCCTGATGTGTGACAGGAAGAGGTGCTACTTTCACCTGATTCAGAAATCTAATGTAAGAACCCATCCTTCCAGCCTACATGTTCTCTAGAGCAAGGCTTTTCAGTCTCAGCACCATTGAGATTTTGGTCCAGACAATTCTTTGGTTGTGGAGCTATCCTGTACCTTTAGATATTTAGCAGAATCCTCAGATGTCAGCAGCAACTCCTCCTCACCCCTACCCTCATGTGACAACCCAAAATATCTCCAGGCATTGCCAAGTATCCCCTGGTAGGCAAAATCCGCTCATTTGAGGGCTGCTACTTTAGAGGTAAGAAGCAGTCATTGTTGACAACAAGCAAATAGGCAAGGCTATGTTCCAATAAAACTTTATTTGTAAATCAGGCAACATCCAGATTTGGCTATGGGCCATAGTTTGCCAGCCTGTGTTCTAGAATAAGTAATACATATACAAACGTGACATTTCTTCATTAATCCTAACTATAAAATTCATCTTCATTTTAATTCAACATCAAAATTTCATCTTTTTCTAAACAGCCTGCTCCATGATTTATTTTGTCTTTCCCTCTTCAATCAAAGATATCTTCTGTCTGTGAATGGGAGAGTCAACATGCACTCTCAGGTCAAAGGCCAGTCTCACTGAAGGGGAGCTGGCCACCCGTTCCTAGGAAAGGCCTGGCTGGGAAGCACACAGCAGAGCCTTAACATGTTACCACCCAAAGGGCAGATCCAGACTAGCAGCAGGAAGGGGAGGCTGGGGCGGCGGGGAGGACTTGATCTCCACTGACTGAGAAGAGAAGGAACAAAATTGTACATCTTTCTCCAGTTTTCACCTAATCGCACTGCAAACTCCAGGGATGAAAAGGGCCAGCACATGTTCTGTGTCTTGTTTCCCTGCTTGTACCCCTTTGCTGTATTTCTAGCCCTCAACTTTGTTCCCCTCAGAAAGTCAGAAAAAGAGGCCCAATTAGAGACCAAGGAAATATCTCCTTTGATTCTTCCCCAAAAATCAGGGTCTGTCTTCTCAGGCTCCTGGCAAGAGACCACACCCCAGAGCTGCCCTGGAAGACCCTGACTTGCCGGCTAAGTCTTTGGGTATCATACTAACAGAGAAACCATGCAGCAAGGAGCTCTTTCTTGCTTCCTCATTTCTAAATGCAATTGCACTGCTTAGACTTACAAGGGTTGGGCCCCATACCTCTGTGTGTGTGTTGCACATTGCCTGATCACCTGCTTACCTTAGGTAATTATGTGTAGTATTCTTTGAGCATCTATGCTATGGAGGCAGATAGTTAATAAAAGGCAGAGACGAAAAGGCCTCTATGCCTACAAACTTACAGCAGGCAAAGATATAAACAATAAAAACAAAAACTACAGTTTGCAACATAATCTCAAATGTTTGCCAGCATCTGCCTTTACATGACATTGTAAAAAGCAGTGATTAAGGAAATATTAAAAACTAACATAAAGAGAACACCCACAAAAAAACAGATCCTGTGTGAGATGCTTTATGTGTTATTTCACAACGGTTCTATGTGGAAAGTGTTCTTACCCCACTTGGAGGTGAGAAAACTCACGTTACAAGGGTTAAAGTGACATCTCTCAGACCACACAGCAGGTGGTTACAGAGCCAGCATTTGACCTAAGGTCTATCATATCTAAAGCCTCTGGATTCTCTATCCTTTTCCCAGGTTGTACAGACATTCAGAAAAACTTACCGTGTAGTAATCGTACCAGCGGGCTCTAGGGAAATATGCGGTGACATTTCTGGCATTCTAAAATTAAACACAAACAAGGAGTGGCAGTGGGCACCATTATCCAGGACAGAGTAACCAAACGGCTCAGGAAAGAGGTTAAAGTCATAGTGATGGCCTTGGGCCCACTTGCCTCATCTCTTGGGAGGCTAACAATGTTGGGGAAAACTTCCTTCCATTTCCGGTTTTGAAGCAGGGGATATTTGTCTACCCAAAACTATCATAAAGTACTTTGGTATCCAGGACTTTGGGGAAAAAAAATTACTGTTTGCTTATAGACACTGACTTACCCAATATACCCTTAAACAGACAAACAACAGAGGTTGTGTCTGGAGCAGAAAAAAGCTTGTGGGTACAATAAGATTTGGGGAACATGCAATTAACTGATATTTTAGGACTAATCCACTGGTATTCAGAAGCCTAATCAACAACAGAAGCAAAGAAATGACTTTTACTGGTGGGAGGACCTCCTGCAGGAGGAAGGGAAAGGTAAGCCAGCAGCAATACGAGTACACACATTGCCAAGTAATCCTTCTGAGAAGTTTTAATAGTGCTAGAGGATTGTTACGATTCTTTACACTACTGCCCCATCTGACCTTCTATTCCTTAGTTAACAAAGAAATGACTATATCATTGAATATACCATGAGGTGTTTTGTTCCTCATCATCCTATAAACCAGAACTGTCAGGCCGGTTTTAAAGATGAAGGAGCTGAGGCCCAGAACACCTAAGTGATGGACTTCGGCTCAGAAAGAGAGGAAGAGACAGAGGTAGAATAAGAAACCATGTGTAGGACCCCACAGCTCAGGCCTCTTCATCTCCTTCTTTTCCCCGAGCCTCACAGCTGGGATCCTCCCCCGATCTGAGGCCTCCATACTCACGAGCTCCAGGACAGGGCTGACCAGGAAGGCTGGGCCCAGCAGGAACTGACTGTCTATGTCCCATGTCACCTGATCTGACACAAACCTGGAAAGGGAAATGAAGATGCCACAATCAGAGTTCCACAGAGACCCAGCCCAAGACCCTGAAGAGGCTCCTCAACTTCAGATCCACGTTGGAAATCCAGCTGCCCCTGAACCATCCTTGCCTTTGTCCTAAGCCTCAGTTGATCAGGAGCATCCAGCCTCTGCCTTTCCCATGTGATGTGCCTCAAACTTATGAAATGCTCAGATATAGGTGTGTTCTGTTCTGTCAAGTACTTACCACATTTCTTAAACATGGGACATTATAAATGCAAGAATGGTCCTTGTACCTCAAATCTCTTCCTGAAATCCTTCTTTTGTGACCCAGGTCCATATAACCAAGCTGCTACAAAATATAGATAGGCCTTAGCACGGCCAAATTAGACAGAGATTATTCTATGCTGTATTGCATCATTTCAATTTCTTCATTCAGTAAATAGCCTTTTATTAATGACCTATGACACGTATCACACTGTGCTAAAGAGTCACAAAGTATCGTCTGTGCCTGAGAGTTCATGTCAAAGGCAATCAAGTGTTAAATTTGGAAGAATTGTGTCTATCAACTGCCACCATATAGAATACAGTAAGTTATCCAATTGCCATCAGGATGCCTGCTAGAGACACTCACTCATGGAGCAGAGGCCGAACAACAGTGACACCCTCCATGTGGGCCTTATGCATCAAGGTATAGAGATATGGCAACAGGGTGTATCTGGTCTGCAGGACATTTCTGGAAATATTCACAAAAGCAGCATCCCAGGATACAGGGTCTTGTCTCTAAAGGAGAAAAAGAGCAGTGTTTGGAGCTCACCAAAGAAGACCTAGAGAACTTAAGAAGGTCACTGAAAGCATATTCCAAATCAACATCACTCAGAGCTAAACAAAAAATAACTATCGATGAGGCCCAGAGAATATTCTGAATAGACTAGAAATGGACTTTGTAGCTCTCCTAGAACAGCTGATAAAATGTCACTGTAAGACATTCTTTTTGATACATTTGGTACAATTCTGTCTAAACAAAGAAAAATAATCATCATCAACTAAAGAAAACCGAGAAATACGTTTCATTGAGACACTGGGCTTAACAATTTTTAAAGAGCCAGGTGCAGTGGCTCACGCCTGTAATCTCAGCACTTTGGGAGGCTGAGGTGAGCAGATCACCTGAGTTCAGGACTTCAAGACCAACTGGAGCAACATGCCAAGACCCTGTGTTTACAAAAAGTCCAAAAATAAGCTGGGCATGTGGGTATGTGCCTGTAGCCCCAGCTATTTGGGTGGCTGATGTGGGAGAATCGCTCCATCCTGGAGGTCAAAGCTGCAGTGAGCCATAATTGTGCCACTGTACTCCAGCCTGGCACACAGAGTGAGTCCCTGTCCCAAAAGAAAAAAGTTTTCAAAGATACTCAGTAAAGACAGACTACATTGAATTTAACTGAGAAAAGGAGGTTGTGTTTCAACAGAAACATTGGAGCTAGGAGCCACTGTCCTACCCTGGTCCCAATGGTGTTGTGGTTTCTTGAGAAGGGGTAAAAGGCCCCCAGCTGCATCCAGCGAACACACATCTCATATTCGGCATCTTGAAAGAACCCACAGATATCTGCTCCTGTCTGTAACAAGAGGAAATTAAATGAGCCTGCTGATGATTTCTGAAGGATGTCCCCATCTTCTTGGTGCTTAAGAGGATCCCAAGGACACTCACGTAGGATATGCCAAAGAGGCTGAACTCCATCATGCCTGCAATGAGAACCACAGCTGTGTCAGACCAGGCTCTCACCACTTGCCTCCTCACTTCTTGACCAAGGATCCCAATTCCCTGACCTGTCAGCATAGGCACTGGGTAGGAATCCACGCACCAATGATAGATTTCTTCAGCTGATCCCACGCGGCCGTGTTGTCTCCCAGCCAATGTCCTGCCCAGCGGCCAGAAGAGGGAAATGTGGAGCGGGTGATGACGACTCCTCGCTGTCCCGTCACCTCCTGCATGGCTCTGGTTGGAGGGGAACAGGAGACTAATTGAGAGTACAGCCAGGGACCACAGGCCATAGAGCTTCTCTTTCCAGAGCCCTCAAGCCTAGTGAGTGTTTGCTGCGTAATTGGAGGGAACATGGGAATCTGAGCTGTAATGGGGGCTCCACTGATCCCAGATGGTGGAGATAACAATTCATGTGTTTTACGGTCCATTACAAAGAACTTCACTATAGTGAACTCACTGGAGTACCCCAAAATTGTAAGGAATTACTAAGTCTTGTAATTGGTTTACTCAATATATAGTGTGCTATATTTGAGGAGGAACTTAGTAAAGATTAGAAGATTGTCCTAAGAAGAATTCATAATATTCATTGAGCTTGCAAAGCAGGACTGTGCTAATTCAGTACAATACCAGTTACTCTCCACCAAGAATGGCCAAAGAACAAATATCTCAAAAGATGATTCACTTTTGAAATAAAAGGGAGAGATACCCAGTCCTTTGTGTTCCCTTTGCCTCCTGCAACTAAAGGTATTTCAGCACCTGCCACCCTGTGTGATCACTACACTATTTCCATGTGTCTTTCCCACTAGGATCATTCATTTCTCACTGCTGGGACCATGCTTTATTTAAACCTGTTCTACTACTTTCCATCACAAGGCCTGACTCTGTGTCAACCAGCATTTGTTTAATCAATAAGAATGATGACACAGTTGTCATGAGAATCTTCTTAACCCTTAGAGTAGGAAGGAAAGAAAAAGTAGGGTAGCTACGTTAGTCCTGGCAATGCTTACACGTTGTGACAGCTGGAGAAGGGAGACAGACACTCACTCGTATGTGGGTCTGGTCTGGGACCACCCGTACAGGCTGTGCACGTTGTAGTGCTGCACGGGGGAGCCGTCTGGGAGCATCTGCTCACTCTCCATGCACAGGGTCTTGCTGCTCAGGCCCCTGTCCCTGGACTCCAAATCTGAGAAGGAAGATCTGGTGAGGTGAAATCAGCCCTGATTCTGTTTATCCCTGACCTCTCTTCAAGGGATTGGGCCCTGGATCTTAAGACTAACTTAAGCCCTGCATCTGTCACTCTCCATCTTCCCAGAGACACCAGCACAGTGACCCAAGCTCTGAGCCGCAATGGCACCTATGGTGTTTTCAACATCAATGTGACTGAAGAAAGCAGAGGTGTCAAAAAGAGCAGACAGTGGTAAAACACCACATGACAGGCTCTGATTTAGGGTTTTGACATGTCAATTATTTCATGTAATTCTTATCATACTTGTATGAAGAAGACATCATGATCTGTCTTTTATAGTTTAGCAAACCGAGATTTGAAAATATCACATAATCTGTGAAAAGCCACAGAATTCACTGAAAAAAAACACTTCTGGAGCCAAGATATGAACCAAGTATAAATTCAAAGCCCATCAGCTCCACAATAAAGGCAAGTCAATAATTTTCACCTATTGATGACACAAGAAATTCCTGTGATGGATTCACATAAGCCTAAAAAACTAAGAAACCCAGCTGTGAGAACCTTTTGGTGGCATGAGCACTGGTTGGTGCTTTCTGGACAGATTCGAGAAATTTGCTCTATGAGTCTAGTCAGTTGCACATGTCCAGCTGGCTAAAGCACGTGCAGAGCTTTGGTCTCTGGTTCCCAGTAAACCACAGCAGCCATGAGGATGTGCTGTCAGGGCACACCCATGGCCTCTGGGCTCCTGCAGTGGTCCTGCAGTTGTGGCTCTGCCAATCAAGGAGGCCAAGGGTTCTTACGTGGCATGTAGGGAGGGTGGTTCAGAGAGGCATCCCTGCAGCCTGGATGAACTGCCCCATTCACGAAGCTCGATGGTTCATTCATATCCTAGAAATGCCAAACACAGATATACCTCACTTTTTAAGAAAATTACATCCTGCCAATTCTGAGACAAGGAAGCAATGAATTAATTGTTCAACATCCAGTAATCCCTGTAGATGTTAGCCCTGGGATGTTCATCAAATCCTGGTAAGAACTGGCTAGAGAGATTAATTCACCCCTACAGAACAACTGGCTAAAGGATTAAAAAAAAAAAAAAAATCTCTCTGCCAGGTGCAGTGGCTCACGCCAGTAATCCCAGCACTTTAGGAGGCCGAGGCGCGTGGATCACAAGTTCAAGAGTTTGAGAGCAACTTGGCCAGATGGTGAAAACTTGTCTCTATTAAAAATAAAAAAAAATTAGCTGGGCATGGTGGTGGGTGTCTGTAATCCAAGCTACTCAGGCGGCCAAGGCAGGAGAATTGCTCTAACCCAGGAGGCGGAGGTTGCAGGAAGCCAAGATCCTGCCACCACACTCTAGCCTGGGTGACAGAGCAAGACTCCATCTGAAAAACAACAATAACAAAAACCTCTCTCAGGGTGAGTGTGAGGCAATCAAAGTTCCAAGAAATTCCTAGTAAATTGTCTCAGAGGTTTTATAGGAACTTCAGGTCCAGTACAAGGTGTGTAGGCTATGAGGGCTGTTCCACTCTGAGAGGAGGAAGTGTCTGACATGTCCAAAGTCTTCCTTGGACAATGATTATCCTCTTGACTGAAGGTCAGTGGTACATAGACTTAGGCACACAAAGATACACAAGTGCCACAGGTACACAGACATACACACACACACTTACAATCCATATGCCATCAAACTTCAAGCTCCTCTCTGGATTCTGTGGATTGTTGTATAGTTCTTCTATTTCCCTCTTCCACCACTTGGCAGTTGAATTACGGAAAAAGTCTGGGAAAGCCACATAAGCTCGATACAGCTATAAAAAATAAATATAATTAGTTTGTCCCACACAAATATATTCGACAGCAAACAGGCACTTACTGAGAATGCAACTCACACAAAGACCTGGACTACATGGTGACAGACGTCCTGAACAGGGCCTATAATGTTACTGGTTTATTAGAGAAATGTAGAATGAAAAGAGAAATTAGTGCTATTTGCACACCTCCCTAGCATTTGGAAGACATCCAAAAACTCTTCTCTTCATATCAACCTAGTTGATAACAATCAACGCCCAGAACTCACGACCTCATGCATTAGATGCCCAACCCTCAACGTCAATCCTGCCATTTCCTAAGCACTCCTCAAAGAAACAAAGCCACAGAGAGACTGCAGACATCAGATGCATGGTAATAGGCTGGGAAGAAACACCCAAGGAGTCCCTCCTATGTCATTCCCATTGAGAGAGGGGAGGAAGTCATAAGATTACATTTCAGGATATTGGACTACCCAGTACACATCTGTGTTCTCTACAGTTTCAGAATCACATGAAAGCTACAGCTGTGTGTAACATAAATTGAGAGGACTTAAAGAGGGCTTTCAACTTCCTCTCATTTTCATCTTCCCTCAGATAATAAAAGCAGTGTTTTCATTTTAACATGAAAGTCGGATTCAAGATACAACTTCTTAACAATAGTAGATTTTTGAGAGCAAGAAGTTAGTTTGATATTCTTCTGAGTGATATTTATATTTAGCTTAGAACCTGACCCAAAATATATAACCAGTGTTTAACAGTGGGTTCACACCACTTGAAGCAGTAAATAAATATCCATACATTTTTATATATTCATGTTGCTTGTTATGGTACATTCCGGTCCTCTGTATGTCTCAGTAAATAGCCTCCTCTATGCTAATCATGGCATTGTAAGAGTTAAAGAGCTAAGGAATTCTGTTGAGAAGGGTGGGGGAGATCTAGGGGAACTCCAGTTCTTATACACAAGAGACAAAAGGCAATTAGGAATCGATATGTCTAGATAAGAGGCAACAAGGGAACATAAGAAAACAGAAACAGATCAGCCTACATGGGTCTGGCTGTCAGGGATGTGAGAAGATAGTGGGTTACATCATGGAGAATCTTAAGGGCCGTGCCAGGGGTGCCCGTTGTTAGGAAATGGAGGTAGAAACCATGAAACCTGACAAAGAGAAACTTTCACCAGAAACAGAGAGCTCCAGATCATACAGGGTTAGAAACAATGGGATGGGTGGGCAATGGAGAGTTAGAGTACCAGCCACATCTGAGTCAGAATTGTATCCCATATGGGATGCACATGGGGAGCCTGGCCAGCAGTGATGTATGAACTTCCCTAAGCACTGCTCAGATGACCCCTATCAATCAATAAAAATGTTCTGCCATTCTCCAAGGTGCTGGCTTGCCTTACACCTGTCCATATTCAAGTCTTGCCTTTGTGGTTTCTGCCTTCACTTTCTCCAGTCTTCACACAGTGATGCACCCACCCACACACTGGGCCTCGGGACCACTTAGCACTCTTTTTGTAGCACACTGCATGCTACAAAATGCAATTCCTAGATCCCCCCACAGCTTATTGAATCAAATCGCTGTAGCTTTGGGCTCAGAAATCTGCTTTTCATAGGCTTCTTGGCTGTTTGTTTTATATTCAGTGAAGCAGACCTGGACATGAGTTGCTTCATCCTCACCAGCTTCATCGTGTAGGTCTCACTATTAACAATATAAACATTAGGTTGGTGCAAAGGTAACTGCAGTTTTTGTCATCATTTTTAATACCTTTCAATGGCAAACACCACAATTACCTTTGCACCAATATAAAACTGATAACTTTTCTATCATAAAACACCAACATAAAACTTATAACCAAGAATCTCTTATGAGCTAACTCACAGATTCTGTGACCCCCTAATGAAGTGTTTCTCATTAGGAGTACAACTGGCATTTGACGTGAGATTTTGTGTGGAGAATTCCCTTCAATCAGAGTTATGGCCATCCCTCCCCATTGCCCACTGAATGCCACTTGGTATCACTATGATAAACAACACTGCCCTCAGATTTCCAAATGGCCTCAGGATGGCAGTGTTGCCCCTACTGGCTGATGAACTGTGGGACTGATAAAAGCCAGGAAGCCCATGAGCCTGAACTTCTCTAGCTGGGCAGGTTCCTGTGTCCATGTGGGGTGGTTTACCACTAAGCTTCAAGTGATTTTCTGTTAGAAATGACTAGAGGACAGGAAGCTATGTCTTTTTCCTTGAACACTATAGATAGATAGATAGATAGATAGATAGATAGATAGATAGATAGAATGGATTGGATGGATTGGATTGATATGGTGGGTAGATGAACATAAATAGATAAGTGTTAGAGTTTAGAGTGGGTGGGTAGAGAGATAGATAGGGTGGATAGATAGATGGGGTGGATGGATAGGAGGGATAAATGGATGGATGGATGGATGGATGGATAGATAGTGTTAGAACGTGGAGTGGGTGGATGGATGGATGGATAGACAGATAGAAGATAAACAGATAGAGTGGGTAGATAGAAGATAGATAGATACAGAGTGGGTAGGTAGATAGGGTGGGTGGATGGATGGATGGATAGACAGAGATAGATTTTGGGTAGATAGATAGATTTAGATAGGGTGGGTAGATGACTAGAGGTAGATGACTAGATATAGATGATAGATAGACAGATAGGATGGATGGAGGTAGATAGATAGATAGATAGGATGGATATAGAGACAGATGGATGGAGGATGGATTTGGATAGATAGGGTGGGTGGATGAATATATATATGTTTATACATACATACATATATATATATTAGAGAGAGAGACAGGCAGACGGACAGGATGGATGGATAGACAGACTGACTGACAGACAGACAGAGTGGATGGATAAATGATAGATACAATAGGTGGATGAATATATGGATGGATAAAGAGACAGAGAGAGAGAGAGAGAGAGAGAGACGGTATCCGGATAGATAAAGAGACAAACATATACACAGTGTCTGGATGGAGGGATAGATGGATGGGTGGATAGACAGATAGACAGATAGATAAACAGAGTGCATAGAGATAAATAGAGAGATAGATAGATATAGATGATAGATAGATAGACAGACAGATTGATAGATGATAGACACAGATAGATAATAGGTAGATAGAGGATAGATAAATAGAGAGATGGATAGTGAGTGAGTGAGAGAGAGAGAGAGAGAGAGGGAGAGAGACAGATAGAGGTTAGATACTTGTTCCATAATAGACAAATGGAAAACAGCCTTGAACTGAGTTTGACTCGTTCTTGCAAGTCTTCAAAACGTGCCCCAGCTTCTGTTTTATTTGTTTCGTTTTACTGAATCTACTGACAGTAAATTAAGGCATACAGTCCAATAGCCAAGCAGCCTGGTCCCAAGTGTGTCGCATTTTAAATCAAGAGTGCTACTGCTGCCAACTTGCTCTGGGATCCAGGAGGTCAGAGACTGACACCAGAGAACTACGCATCACTGGCTTGCAGTGCCCTCTGTGCTCACTACCCCATTGGAGCTGTCCCAGGCCTCAGCCTCAGACTCCACATTGTGAGCTTCTGTCTAATATCAGCCTTTCCCTTTAGGACTCACCATTTGACCTGAAAACCAACTTATCTGGATAAGGCAGGAATATTTGGCCTGACCCCTGCCAGTCACATTCCTGGTGACTGGAATGTTTCTCCTGCACCTCTGTCCACGTACTACGATCTTACATTACATAGAGAGAACTCCCAAAAGAGGTCTTCACCCTGGGCTTCTGAGTGGCTGCTACCTGAATTTACAACGGTTGGGATTTGTTTCCACAATATGGATATTTGTCTGATCAATACTTGATCTTGACAGAGTACCTAGACACTACAACATATACCACATTGCTGACTGCACAGGCCAGCTTCTTCGTCCCTTCAATTCCTGGAAGATGTCCTAGAAATAAGCCTTTTCCTTGTCTGCTCAGCTCTTCTGTGGAGGTCACATAGGCTACACAGGCCCTGCTACAATTCCCACCCAGAAAGAATAACCATTATTGAAGAACAGCTCAAGAGGTCAGGCAGATACTTGCTCTCCAGGAGCTCCTCGGCCCCACCCTGAAAGCCCTGCCTATGGGTACTGCCACAACCATGGATAGTCAACCATACAGGCTGCATCAGTTCAGGAGACACACATCTTGGCCAGAGGGCAGGGCTGTAGGCTTTGTA